GTGTGTGTGTGTGTGTGTGTGTGTGTGTGTGTGTGTGTGTCTGTCTGTGTTGGCTAAATAGAAAAAGAAATGCCTGGACTACAAACAGTGTGCTGCAGGCATTTCAAAAACTGCTTTTTCAGAGACAAATTGGGATTTGTGGGTGTGAAAGCTTTGCARACATTTTTACATGCACAAAAACTTGACCACACACTAAAATAAAATAAAGAAAACCCCAAAAATCATTATACAGCTTTTAAAAAACAAAGAAATGATGTCAACACCTAATAAATTAAGTTTTCATTTAAATCATATTTGAATGAGCTGTATGTTGGTGAAAAACATGCCACACATCTTTTCAGATTAGCCTACTGTTAACTYTGATTGCACCTCAATATACTGTATGACTGTTCTGTACTCCTCATTTCTATGTTTCTGCCGCACTACCCTATCACTCTATGTATTTAGAGTTGTTTCTTTTCTATTGTACAGTGTCCTTGGGTGTCCTGAAAGGCACTTTATAAATAAAATGCATTATTATTATTATTAAAAAACAGGGAAGAGAAACTCACTGGGAACTCTGTTGATGGCTCGTAGTGGGCGGAGGACCCGGACGGTGCGAATAGCTGATAGGCTGACGTTGTGTCCATCCAGAGAGTACTCCAGCATGCTGCAGGGAGGGAGAGCCACCAAAATGTTTCTGGCATCCTGATCGGCCTGACCTTGGCAAATTCTGAGCGTCTACAGGGACTGCATTCTCTGGGATAAACAGCCTTTTAAGTACAAATCGCTGAGGTCTGTGTCTCTCTGGACCGGGTAATTGTCATTCTATGAAGCTATCATAGCATAGACACGCACACGCACACACACACAAACACACCCAGACACCTCCCTATGTACCTCTCTGCACGCGCAAACACACGCTTGACATTTAATTGGCATTAAACAAGTGTCTAAGCTTYACACAAAACACACACGTACACACTCTTGGCTCGCATTTAATGTCAGAAGAGTATATGTGCATGTGAGTGTGTGTCTGTGAGGCACTCACCCCACAATAACAATGAAGAAGTCCAATCTGTTCCACGTGTCGCCCAGATAACCCTTCTGACCTATGACCCCAAGAGCCACCATCTTCACCACCATTTCTCCAGCAAAGAACACAAAGATGCCATCATCTAGAGCCTGTGCACAAACACACACACGCACGCACGCACGCACGCACGCACGCACGCACGCACGCACACACACACACACACACACACACACACACGGGATGGGAGAAGACTTATCAAGTAGAATGAAAATCAAAACAACTTCTCAGAGCCATGAGAATAAAGTTACACAGCTGTGTACTGTATATGTACTTTTAAACTTCAGGAATTGTGCGTGTGTGATTATTTGTGTGTGTGTGAGTGTTTTACCTGCAATAGGTAGGGGGTGTGGCCACAAGGCTGGAACATCCCCAGCGTCACACAGTTCAGCAGGATGGCCAGAATGCTCACACGTTCAAACCAAGTGACACAAGGTTAAGAGTCAACACCACGGCAGAATTGGAACAATGATCAGGATGACAAGGCTCAAAGTAAACATGCTGTTTTTAACAGAAGATGACATGAAATCTAAACTTTTCAGATATCGTTAAAAAGACAGGGTTTGTACCTACAGAGCTGACAAAGAAATCATGATTTACAGCTGGGGGACAAAATAAAACAAGCTTTAAGGGGATAAACTGRTTTTTCATTCATAAAGAGATGTTCTGTAAAATATTATCAATAATTTGAACCTTATCAGCAGTGGTACAAGTGATAGAGCAAAGTATATTCTGATGGCAAACTAAACATGAGCTTGTTTATAAAACAACTCTTTCTTAAAAATGACATAATGTTGTGAAAGAATGCTATACCAGCTAGCATTAAAACGGCTACACTTTGCCTGACACCATTTGTTTGTTGCTGTTTTTTCAATTGAACATTGTCCGTATAGTGACACAAATATATGAGCACTGAGCATAAACTAAACCTTTGCACCTTTTTAACATATTTGATTTTCCGTTTAGCACATTCCACCTATTAGCACTCTTGGTTTGTCTCCCCTGGCAGGCATTGCTCAGGGAAACATGTTTCYAGTTGTGAATATGACAATAAACACTTTGAATCCTTGAATATGCTGATCACAATTACATTTACAGCATTTCAACAAATGTACAGGGATCTATAGGCAGGGATTATTCCTTGTTTCGGTACAGGAGAAGGAAAGGCTGTTAAGAAGGGAGACAGCAGTGGAGGAAAAACTATTTCTGTGTCGGCTGGTTTTTGTTCTGATGTTTTGATGATTTGTTTTGATGGTACTGGGGTTGATAAGTATCYGTCTGCCTGTTCAGAGCATCTAGTCTGTCCAAACGTTCACTCAGCTCCTGACAGACTGATACATTCAGCAGCGTCAGGATACCTATGTTTACAGGGTCTATGGATGCTCAGCACTCTWAGTAATGTGGACATTTTTCAGCTTAGAAAAAATAAGAACAAACAATAACCTAGCCTGGACAAAGACGTCAGGTTTTATCATCATACTCTGTGCTTTAATAATGAAGCTAAAGGTCAGGTGTCAAACTCAAGAACCGTGGGCCAAATGTGGCTCGCTAAGGCATTTTATGTGGCCTACAAGAGCTTCAAAGATGTATTAATGTCATTAAAATAAGTGTACAGTACTCTGCTTTAAGATTAGCATTGACCATAAACTACCTCTCACATGATGCATGTCAATTATTTTACCCAGGAAACAAAGGCATCCCACCACTAGCTGGTGGTGCACTTGGTTCAATAGTCAGTAGGCATTAGCTGGCAGATGGCCTAATTCCCCATGTAAAATTTACATTTCACTGGATTACACATAGAACTATTCAGGGAATAYAAGGCAATGTGTTTAATCACTGTTTCTCTGCAGGAAATACCAAGTAGAGCTCAGTTATTGTTTGTTAGCWGTGATCAGYGATGAGATGAGMTGAGGAATGTGACAGTTCATGTTTGGWTGAAGTTAAAAACAAAGTGCCTTTGTGAAAATTGAGTTTGACACCCCTGCTACTTATAAGTGATAATAACTACTGATAGCCATTTGACAAAACTTTAATTCAAAAATG